TCGCCTCCAAACGGGGCAACGGAAGGAGAATCATTACACCGGAGATTATCATTTAATACCGGGAGATTCAACGAAGCGGCGGCGGCAGGCGAATTTATCTATCAGACGCGCTTAAGTAGCTCGGTGGTTGCGATGCCGTCTCGTTGCTAGATCGTGAAATAATTGAGCCGTGTGCTCGCTGCAGGCGTCGCTGAAAATTAATATTCCCGCGAGTCACACGCGTATCGAGCCGGAACGCTCGATATTACGCGAGCGTATTGCCCGTCGCCAACGATCCCGCAAACACGCGCGCGTTTTCCGCTCAACGATCAAGCCCTCAGGGTGTTGCATCGGTTCGTTTGGATTGAGAAGAATTCGTTAAATTAAAACCAATTCCCTGGATATATACGTCTGACAGAATATTCTGTGGGCAGTTTCGCGCGTACACGATGGTTCATAAGTGGAGGAAGTGGTCCAAATAGAGGTTGGGGTTTAAACAGAGTAAATCTTCGATTAACGTTCGAAACTCCGAACCCGTTGGAAGCAGTTATCGTAGAGGGATACGATTTCCGAGCGCCCAGTGTGGAACCTCCTAATAGTGGGGAGGAATCAGAAACATTTAGCCTAGAAATCTCTCTGCGCAGTTATCGAGAATTTACTGTATGGTGTAGTTGAAAGTATCCGGTCATATTAAGTGCTTGACCATAGCGGGGATAGTGTAAAACTACGACTGAAAAATGAAAGAAGCTTATTTTAAAACTCCGTATCATACAACAAACATGTTTTAGATACATTGGAGTGTTATATCTTAAGAATCTTCAAGAAATTTGGCAGTAAGTCCTGATGTACAGGTGGTAGCCGATATTTAGAATAACTCTTCCATTAGGACTCCTGGTCTGCATAAAAAAAATGTGATAATTCGTAAAAATGATATATTGTCCATCGAGCTTTAATATCCCCTAAACAATATTTCTGTCAGGCTTTCAGAAATTTTGTAATCACTTGTAAGATTTACTGTATATTCGATAAGTGTCCTAATATTCATGAACATGAATGTATGTACATGCTAGGAGGAAATCCGATTGATCTGTTGGGCGTGCCAGGACGAATTATTTCGATCCGATCGACAGAAATCCCGGTGTTTACGGACAGTATCCGGAATTAAATATAATTACTGGCAACAGAACCCCGTTAACCCTGTCTGTTCCCAATAATCTGTGGTTGAACGCCCGGTAGTGGATATCACGATCGTTGAGTGTACGCGCAAATTCGAGCAGGAAATGAAGAGAAATCCACGAGAATGGACTTATAACGAAAGTCCAATTGAAACCGGAGGGGATATGGAAAATTGAAAGGAACAATCAATGAAAAGTCACAGACGTCTGTGCTAATGATGCTAAGGTGTAATAGTCAAATTCAAGTTTCTTTTTACCGTGCAGTATTTCTGTGACTTGAAGAGCACGAAAACTATGTTGAATTGATTAACGATACATGGAATACCTACTGTAAAATATGATGAATGCCATTACTAGACGAAGGTACTGTGAATAGAACGTGGACTTTTGTACATTTATCCTGAATGTGCAATACACAATACAACAAAAGTTATGTTGAACTTAATACCTGTAGTAAATGAAACAGATTTCTGATATAATTTCAGTTCCGTAAATTAAGCTAAAAAAGTCTGAATTTGCATAAAGGATCCGCAGTCTAATTATAACAAAACAGAAGGGAAAAGAAGAACAGTATAACAATGACAAACAGGCTATGGATATTTATGCAAATATAGATTAATTTTCGGAAACTGGAATGAAATAGAAAGTTCTTTAATGCATTTAGAATCCTTTTAGGCTGTAAATAATTTAAAAATGTCATTCGAATTTATAATTCCATACACTCGAATTGTAGACACCTGAGTACTACACACCTGAATCTTAGAAACCTAAATCTTAGACACCTAAATTTCAAACACTTGAATTTTAGGGATCTGAATTCGCCATAATTGCATAAATTCCGCAATTAATAATAGATACAGTAAGCTATTATTAAACACAACCCCAACGTAGCCCCAACAAAACGCAACATTCTCCACGAAAGCATCCATGCGATACCGACTGCATAAACAGGCCCCGCCTCTTCGACGTTCTCCAGAAACAATTTACAGAATGAAACACTCAAACGACGTTTCAGCGTCTCGTGAACGCGAGGATTCCGAGCGGACAAAAGCGCAAACAGATTCCCCGGGTGCCAGGCAAGTAAACCCCACCCCCTCCCTTCGCCAGAGTCGCGACGAATAACGCAGCGTAGAAATAAGAATTCACAGCGTAAAACGAGGGAAGGGGGAGAGAGGGGTAGAGTGGCGCGAAGTTAGCGATCTTTCAATTCGTTGACCAAACTCAATTCAATTCTCTTTATCCGCCACTTACCCTCCCGGGCAGCTTCTTTCTTATTCCACCCCCCCCCCACCCCCAACCGTTTATTATTCCTTTCTGAAAGTTATTCCGCGAGAATGCAAAATACTCACGGCGCGCCAGGACAAGCGGTGCGTCGAGGGTTGGAAAGTGGATGGGGTGAAGACAGGACCAGGGGGTGGGTAGGTGGAGGGACGAAGAAAAAAGTCGCCGGGCCACGTAGAAAGTTTCGCGTAACTCGAAAGATTAGACGGGAGACCGTGGATGAACGTTGAAGGAGGTTCAGGAGTGGTGTTGGGGGTGTGGAAAGAGGGTCGCGACGCGGTAGAACGGGCACCGACTTAAAAACAATTGCCCCGCGGCGACGCGGGAATTTTAAACACACTTTTATCGCCCGTCCGGATGGCTTTTGTTCGACGAAATCGCCCACGGGTCGAAACGGGGGTGAGAAACGTGGGTGAGGGGGTGGGACAGGCGCGCCACTGTCCACGATCGAAGGCTTTAAGGCAATTTACGAGGGGGTTTTACGGTTTCGAGTGACGCGCCAACCTGTCCTGATCTTTTTCCATTTCCCACCCCTTATCCACAAGCCCTTTTGTTCCGTCCAACCCCCACCCTTACTCGTCCACTTTACATTCAATGTTGTTTTAATACCGCCCCCTAACCCCCTCCACCAGACTTTCTGTCCACCGTTGGAATTATAAGAGAGCGGAAAATTACCGTTGTGTCCCCTCGGCCGGGGGAAGAATTTAAATGGGGACGAATCAACGCTTCCGACGACCTGCGAAATTGCCTCTTCCCCGTCTGCTATAATCACGCGTTTTTATTGAATTCAATTCCTTGTCGCGTGAACCGTCGAAGAACGTCGGACAGGGTCGCTGGTTTGCGGGGACGACGCCGTTAGGCGCACTCGCGACGTGTAGTTTCTAGGTAACGGCACGGGGAGAATGTGTGTCGGAGAGAGGATCGTCACGAACAGACTGACGACACAACAGGAGGAAATCCGTATCGGGGTAATGTCCCGTGAAGATGGCCTGCCAGACTGGAGACTTCTGGTACGGTACTGTTATGGGTGACTCGTGGCTGCTTCCTTAACCCTTTTGCCAGTAACATCTGTGGGCTGTTTTCGGTGAAAAGTTTGAGATACCGACGCAGTGAAATTTTGGTAGTACTGAAATGTACCTGGAGAACAAGAATATTAAATGACACGCATAAGCCTCTAGCGATCTCTCTGGACTCTGATAACTCAATGTCCACATCGTAAGAAGATATAATATTGAAAGTACGGTATAATCGTTAAGATAAAATCTGAGAACTAAGAATACAATCTTCAGTTGTAAAAAAAATCGTAAGGCAAGGGGTTAAATAACGAATCATTATTCAACGATCACTAAGCAGACCAGAAATAATTAAAGCCCACATCGTAGTAGATAAGGGATACACATTAGAGCCAAGTGACCCCGAAACTACCCCATAAACGAACAGTATTGTCCTGAACAACCGTCCCAACAAAAAAAAAAAAATAAAACACACTGGCGAAAACGAAACTGGTACAAGCGATACAGGAATATTTGTACAGGAAGAAAAGAGAAGGGAGGGAAAGGGGGTGCTTCGATTACAACTCTGGACGAGCCACTAAACTGACGGCGCGGGCGAGGGAGTAGAAACGAGGGTGGTTGCGGAAGGGTCGAGTTTAGCCGCTCCACTGGTCTGTAACTCGAACCAACCCCGAGAAACACCACCGCCCCCGGGAACTTGCCGCGTCAGCCTTCCCCCGCGCGCTATAAGGTCGAAACCTACCGCCCACGAACAGGAAACGGAATCCAACTTCCTTCCTTGGTCGAAGGCGAAGATTAATCTCGGCGCAGCCGTGCATCTACCTGCGCCCACCGACGGTAACCCCATCGACCCCCTCCTGGCCCAGGCCATCCCTCTTCGCGAGAGACCAACGTCGTAACACTTCTCGCCCGGGCCTCTTTCTATCTGGCCTTTATCAGTCTGACTCCAACTAACCTGCCTCCGCTCTCCAGAGGCCACGCGAATCTCGCCCCGAAACGTTCCACGAAACTGGTTCGTTGCACTTGATTATTGGATCATTGGATCATACAGGGTGTACCGAAAAGACGAGTACCCCAGATTAACTCGAAAGGATGATGTTTTAACAAAAAATGTTTCATAGAAAAGGTTTTGGGTTTAAGATGGGAATGAATGACCGAATTCAGTCGGGGGAATGAAGTTTCTGGAAAAAATGTTTGATACAACAGTTTTAGGGTTTAGAAAGGGGCATCTGACGGTGACCTTGACACAGGGGTCAAATTTGGAGGTCATTCTGAAGTCGATTTGATTTTTTTTTAATAGAAGCTCTTGTTTTTAGAACCTGAAATGGAAAGAACAGTCATTTTGATCCAAAGATGCTACCACGTATATGGAATTTTCCGTTCTTTCCATTTACTAAAATAAAGAAATGAAAGACACTGACGGAGCTTCTGTTTTCCAATTGACTGAAAATAGTTATGACCGAGCTGATACGTTCAGTTAACGAACAATACATCAACCGAGTAACGGTTCAACGTTATTTCAACCTGCACGTGCCGCAATTTAATTTTCCAGATCCTTGCGGTAACGTGATGTGCGTAGAACCGGAAATCTGTCAGTTGGACGACTCGAGGCAACCAGGCTGTCGTTGCGGCGAGCAATGCGGCCTCGAGTTCTCGCCAGTTTGTGGAAGCGATGGTAAAACGTACTTGAATGAATGCAGCCTCAGGCAGGAAGCCTGCAGATCGAGATTATCGCTCAGAAAAGTCTACAATGGCGCCTGCAGTTCAGGTAATTGAAATTTTTCCCTACGATAATCGCTCCCCCCGAAATTGAACCCCTACATCTTACCACAGTTTGCTACAAATTGCGCAATATAAATATTACGACCTGTAAATCGTTCCGTTCATAAAGAAACATAGACTGTTTTATATTACTGCAGTTCCTCCTAAAGTGTTCTACATTTCTTATGATCGAAATGAATAGAGAAAACCCGTAAAATCGTTGAAATCGAGACTTTAAACCGTTACCTTTCAAATTTCCTATAATATTGTAAGTATGGAATACGAATGTGGCTTTTATAAAACAACGTTGGGATTTGGCAACAAAAGCATCAGCTTAAAGTAGAAATGTAGATTCTTATACAATAGTTATGGAAACGAACACGTATATTTCTAAACGACTTCGCGTGATTTCTACACATAGATCTAGAACGCAAGGAAAGTGCCATTTTCTAGAACAAGCTGTCCTATAATGCCCACTGTTCCGCCATCGGCGAACAGAACCTTGGAACCGAGAGTGACACGGGATCAAAGAATGCTTTTTTAATCCACGCGTCATTGTGCAGGAATCAATCCGTGCAACGAGGCAAAGTGCAACCCCTACGAGCAGTGCGTCATTGACCGACAAGGGATAGCAAGCTGCGAGTGCGGCCCAGAATGCGAACCGGTGATGAGACCGGTCTGTGCGCTTGGCGGGAAAACATACACGTCACTCTGTGAGCTGAAGAGGCAAGCCTGCTTGACCAAGACCAGCATCGAGGTCGCCTACACCGGAACCTGTGGATCTAGAGGGCCATGCTCCGAGAAGGTAAGTCAATGTTTTCTATTCAACACCTTAACGACAGATGACGCATTCTTGCGTCAGATCTAAAACTGCCTCCTTCCACATATGACGGACATTTACGTCAAATTGAAAAGTACCTCCTTCCACATATTACGGACATTTCAGGAACCCTTAATTAACTCCAAAAACCCAGATTCAGTTCCATCATTTTCGAACGTGTCCAACAGCGTAATTAAACGGAATAATTTCAGTTTCGACCATGTTTCGCTCGCAGCAAAATGACTCTAAACGAGGACGATAATTTCCAGCAACTCCTCCCTCGATCCGTCTCCGTTTCTCCGTTTCACCGCTTATTGTCCCCCATCTTTCTCCGCGATAACGGGGGAAGCTTAATCGCGGGCCGCGGACACCGTGGACGCAATATTCCGGGCGTGAAAAACGGTGGGATTCTGGGCCGACGAGACCGCGGGGGGAAGAATCGCGCCCCGTTGCGATGGTACCTACACATTCAATTCTGAGAACTAAAGTGCCACGCGTAAATTGCACGACTATATATCGTCCCGGGCGATAGATTATCGGCTTTGCGCGGGAAAGGCGGGATATCCGACGGAACGTCGCCGAAGGGTGAAATTCCGTGATAAGCAACCGTGCCGCCGCGTTTAATCGAACGTTTGTCCTCTCGAGAAGGAACGAACGAAAAAAAGGGAACTTTGTCGAGGATGAAAAGTCGAAGTGAAGCTTTTTCCCTTGCTCGCAGATTTGCCAGTGGGGCGCCATCTGCGCGGAGATCAACGGTACCGCGATCTGCGAGTGTCCAACCTGTCCCGCGGAATTTCAACCTGTCTGCGGCGATGACGGCATCAGCTACGGGAACGAGTGTAAGCTGCGCCTGGAGGCTTGTCGACATCGACGAGAGATCAGTGTGCTGTACCAGGGACTGTGCAGTGAGTAGCGATCCCCTATTGGGAGCTGGCGTGATTCTCTAGTATTCCACGTTTCCTGTAATATTTGTTTTCGATCTACTGTCTGGAATTGTTAGAAGGGCGTGTGCTTAGTTACTTGATTTGCCGATGCATTGGTTTTAAAAGATTATCGAAATTGGTGGAGCTAGGGAATGAGAGCTTCATGAGATATTTTTTCGTGTTTCCTTGGAATTAACTTAATGAACTTAATTTTTTTAGAAGAACAGTTGACGTCGAATATTCGGGGTTGTACTGTAGTATAATTTGATAGCATCATCGATTAGCTGTTTAGTATATGCTTCACGCTAACCCCTTATCTATGGCCCGTTTTAACCCGTTCGCTGTGGCAGATTTCAACATGAATGTGGGTAGCGAACGGTAGACGTCTAACCGTGACTGACAACGTAAATGGTAAAAATATTCGTCAGGAATATTGATTGAGTGGAGTTTCAAGTTACAATGTCATGAATTGTAAGAGTACCGTGCACAGAAGATTGTGTGAATAATAAGCAAATTGTCGTAGTTATCGTCGATAGCACTCACGAAAAACTTTTGTGTGAAAATACATCGCATCAAATGTAATTTTCTCGTCTTCTCGAAAAGCACTTGGTAATTTCATTTGTAATTTCATTGTCCCACAATATCACAAGCAGACGAAAAAGAAGACGTTACTTCGGGGGTTGAATCCCGGATAAGTCTGGAAAAAGCACTATCTAGATTACCAAGAATCTTGCAATTCTGCTTCTTTGCGGTGATAATTTTAGTTTCTACTTCTACCTTGTTATGTATTGCAGAAGACCCCGAGTGTAGTTTCTACTGTACAACTTTATTCACTTTACCTTCAATTTCCGTCTGCCACTACTAGATAAAACAGGGGACACTTCTGACCGACTTTAACCGTTTCGCGGCAAAGACTGGGTTACTTAAAATCCCGAAATAAAACTTTTCACCCAAAATTATTCATAAATTACCGGTATAGTTTCGTTCCTGAACTATCCTACACAAGAGTATTATTTACAGAAATGAAGCGATCACACTTGAAAAGTGGCTTGAAAATACAATTCGCGAGATTACAGTACAGGTCAGAGTAGATATTCCAGCTGCGTTTTTTCCCCAACGATAACCAAACACGGATAAAAAGTTTCATTATTAAATTCGTCATCGCCCCCGAGCATCATAAACTTTTTACCGTGAAAGGGACCGTAAATTGATAATCGACTTTCTTCGATTAAAAAACTTCTTCTGCGGGTCGGGGGTCCGAAAGAATCCTCAGAAATTCGTCGAATAAATGAGGTGACTGGTACTTATCAGAAAGTCAACTCTTTCGACTTCGCCGCATTGAATATGCAATCTCTCTTGCGGACGCGAACGCGAGACGACGACGCCCAGTTCCTAGACAGTTGCTCCATTCTCACGCTCTTTCTTCCCAAGCGTTCAGGCTTCATGAAAATCGGTCACGCACGCGCCACGCCGTCACCACACAAAACAAACGCACAACTCGACGACGGGGTGGGGTTACGCGACCCGGTTTGCTGCCGCGTGACACATGGCATTGTTAATTTGCAGCGCAAATTATTTCCACACGTTCTGTGCGCCGATCTTCCGATGACCTACGAGCGCCTCTTCGACGTGGGTCACTCATACGTAGACCTTTACTACTTGCTTCTAACAATAAGTAGCAAATGATTCTAACTACTGGAGAGAAATAAAAATTGTATTTGGAATAGTTTACATAAGAGTATTTAGTAACTCTAAAATGCGTAGAAATTATTTGATTTTTCTGAATTGGTAATGAATCCCTTGGGAATTAACACCCTCATACGTTGACCTTTACTACTTACTCCTATGTAATGGACGGTCGTGACTACGGGAGGGAAGTAAAAATTACATTCGGAATTGCTTACATAAGAATATTTGGAAATTTTAATGTAAATAGAAATAATTTCATATTTCCAATTTGATAATTAGTACGTAAAATGCCCTAGTTGCTTCGATAAAGGAACTGTTGTAATTAGTCACGTATTCTATTAATTTTATTTTATTTCGATTTTAAATAGAACCTTCTTCTCAATATCAATCATTCTTCAGAATTTTTAATAAGATTATGAATTAACAATCAGCTACGAACAGTCTGATCTATATACATATATACAATGATCGACAAAAATTGCTGCTAAACAGTCAGAAAGATGATCGAAACGTCAATCCATATTTCCAACAGTGCTTGAAATACCTTATTGGGATATTGGAATGGAATTAATAACTTAGTATGAACAGGACGCGACGTGATTTAATATTTCACCTGATTTTCCAGAAACGTTCCGCCCGCAGCTTCCTTTCCTCGGGTTTCCCTCGTGAAATTCGAACCATTAGGATTTTTCCACGAGAAATTCGTTGATTGAGTATTGATCGACCAGAAGTAGAACCGTTAGAAGCGAGCGCACCGAGTAAATAATTAAGGAAACTTTATTAACGGGAACCGAGGTAGGCAGGAAGAACTCGAGAGATGATTAATTCCGGCTGACTGAGCTATTACATCGAGAGTGGATTCAAATTGGTACATTCGCTTTACAGGAGGGGACGGAATTTTTTTCGAAACCAGAGAAAGAGAGATGGCTGACCGATTTTTACGCGGATTCGATCCACACAGCGAGCGCGCGCGCAATTTGCATAGAATGAACGGGGATCCTTTGATATCAGAATCGTATTTGCATGTTGATCGATGACGAAGCTTTGTATCTTAAGAATTTTTTCGTTAACAGAATTTGCATTTTTATGGGAGGATTCCTACGCGAGATTACCTCGCAGACTAAGAGGTTTATGAAGGGGAAAAAACTTTATTTCGACGTTTCATTGCCAATTAAGCGCTGTCAAGAAGTTATGTAAATGTAGAATGGCTAGAAATGGCAAAGTTTCCAAGAAGTCCGAAACTTGTTAACAGCTTGTTATTTTACAACAAACGTTTCGAACTACGTCCACCCGCGTTTTTAACGTCAGTTTTTACTCTTCTTGATTGAAACGAGAAAATGGCTAACTAGATAAAGATAAAGAAAAATTAGAATCAAACTGACAGAACTAGTTCGAACTAATAATTCTGATGTCGATAACTATTTGTATTGGAGATAAAACGAATATTTCAGAAATAATTGGTTTAGGAAAAACATCATTTGAGTTTTTATTCATAGGGATTAAGTAGAAGACAAGATAATACTTATGCTTCAATTTCCTGCACTTTTCATATCCTGAATCCAAAATGTATTCCCACCATATTGAAAATATGTTGAATTACTCCGTGGTAAACCTACGACAACACCCCCTACTGCATCTAGTGCAATATAATATTCAGTCAATATGCAAATAACTCCTAAAGACTTTAAGAAACTTATTGAGTTCCTTAAGAGCACCGATCTAATACACAAAATCTGATAAACTTGAGTACAACAATTCGATGATACGACTACAAGCACACTTTACGTAAATAAAAAAAAAATTTCACATTCATGAACCAAAAAGTTCACTCACGTTTGTAAAAATTAATCCCACCTTTCTACATGGCATCCAACCCCCTATCTAAGACGATAGATCTCCCAAAGAAATGCATACGGTTCGGTAGAATCTGTATTCCCCATCCCCTCCATCCCCCGAAGATAATTTGCATGGTTTAAAATCGCGTGAAACTTCTGAAACGTACTGCGCCTGGGATTCGGTTCCATGCATATCACGGCTCGCGGGGCGACTCTCTCGCGCCCACCCTCTCTGGATGAAATTGTATGAGTTGTTACCCCGTGGCATGCACGTTGCATATGCATGCAGTTTCATCCCCTACCATACCACTCTCGGATCCACAACCAAGTCAACTCCCGGGGCTGTGCCACCGATCGCAGGATTCTCGCGATCCTAGAAACACAGAAGTCATCCTCCTCTGCTATCCTCGGTTGCAGGAAGTCTTCAGCCGTAGCCTCCGAAGGCTTGTTACCCTCCCCCTCTCCTCCAACTGTACTAGCATCATCGACACGTCGCTGAAGTAGGGGTACGGGAATGGGTGAGCCAACGCCCCTTTTCTCCCTTGGTTTCAATGAATTCTAAAGATAACTTCTCGCCTGCAAATCCTCCTTCAATGCCTAACCGACCCCCTTCTATCCACCCCCGTGTTTGTTCCTCCCTTCTTCGCTACCGTTCTTGCTCCTCTTCATTTCCTATCTTTCTCCAGTCCCTTCTTCGTTTCTCCACTATGTATGTCTTTCCACCATTCCCTCTTCATCGTTCTCCCTCACTCCGCTTTGTTCCCGGATCCAACCGTTACCAGCCCTCCCCATAGACCCCCCTACACACCCCAGACCAGCCAGATAATTTCCCTCGAAACGGATGCAGTTATGCAAATACCCGGCCTGGGAATCTTTATTAATGCCGGCTTGAACGTCGGCCAGAAACCGGGGCCCCTGACTGCAACAGGGTGGCAGCGACCGCTTTGTAAGCGCGACGATGCCAGTTGGAAAGGGGGTACGGGAATCACACGGAACCGGAAGCAGCCCGCGCTGCCCCCAAACAATTCGCTGGTAGTTTAACGGGCGGGCAGAGGGGATATCGCGGACGGAATCTACCTCGTCGAGCGTTTCGGGACGCGATGACGAATGGCTGACTAACACCCCAGCTACGGGGAGCTTTTGCCTTTTTGCCTTTCGGCGGGGAGGCAATTACGGGGAGATGGATTGCGCTTGGGCTAGCTCGCCAAGCGATAACTGTGCTGAGGGAAGGCAGGGGGATGATGCTCGTTAATTGGTAATCGTTCCGTTGCTTGCTTACAGACGGATGCGAGAAGAAGAAATGCGAGTACTACGCCGAGTGCGAGAGCGACAACACTGGCGAGGTGAAGTGCGTTTGCCCGGGAAAGTGCGAGAGTTCGGTAAGTGGATGTTTCAGAATTTTTACCTTGTTACAATAGGCGTGATAATTAAATATCGAGGACAATTCGTTAGGAAATTTTATTTTGAACATTAAAACCCACCCTATTTATAGCGTCACGTAACTTTGAAGTCAGACACTGAGATATTTTACAAATTTTATTTCGTTATTTCGCCGACAGGTGCCGTAGCATTCCGTCCACATGCACGCCTTGTATATAATAAACAGATTGTAAATATTATACATTTATAGAATAGGCACTTGTCTACACTTTAATATAATAACAAGTTTTCAGAAAGTTTATTTAGGGTTTTCTTTCTTTTTAGAACCTACTAGAACCTTTAACAGGCTGAATAAATTTCTTGTGTGCATCCAAACAGGAAAAGAAAGTTTTGTTTGTTAATTTTCAGACTATATATAGGAAACTGTAGTATTACTTACATAATAATTTTCAGTAAGAAATCGGAACATTTAGTTTTAGTAACAAGTTTCTCTTTTGCACAGATTCATGAAACCTTTCAATTTTAATATTAATCGATGGCTGTTAATTTATAATAAAGTATTGAACAACAGAGTTTCCGGTAGGCCGGATTAAAGCGTAAGAGCGTTTATCCGCCGCTCGAACGTGGCCCCGACAGATCGCATTAGAACATAACTGTTTGAAGGTAAAGCTGCTCAATCGTGAAATCTGCTTTATCTTTGCCCTGCAAACGCGCGTCAGTTAATCCCTGAATCGTATTGGAATAATCGAGTTAATACTTATCAAAGCGAACGCGTCATCAAAAGCGTGCCTAGCCAATTCCGATCTTTCAACGTTGAGAATCCTTTCGTGACGCGATAATCCTCGCCTCCTTTCGAGCGCGCTCTTCTCCCGTTCTAATGGAAAAATGAAACCTCATTATCGTTTAAAAACAGAATCTGAATCTCATTTCACTGAAAATATCCCGATATCCCAATAGAGCGAAAAAAACAAGTTCTTTGCAGTTTACTCACGATGAAATTCGTCTTAAAATTTGAAAATCAATCGCGTTCAAAGTTTATTAGAATCGTCCGTTTGCCATTTATTTACACGTATTCGGAGTTATTTGTCTCCTTAAAGAAGATTACACGGATCGAAGCTGAAAAATGTCTGAAACTGGTGCCAAAATGGCTGCTCATATTGCAACGCGGAAGTAGGTTATTCTGGGTAACGAGAGCTATTTTCTATCCTCTTGCTTCCCCTTTAATATAATACCGTAATATTTCACTCTCCGTTATATAATACTTGAAAAGAAGACAGAACAAAGTGAAAGTATAATAACAAAAATGGTAAAAATTCCGTCACTTCCAAACATCAAAGTCCATAAATGAGACTGTCGATATTTATGTAAAATAATATTCATCTCTACAACCTCATTTACTAAAGTGAGTATTCTATAAAAATTTTTTTTTCGTCTGATTAAGGAGTTACTTGTACAAAATTTATGTTAAATTGTTACATGCAATAAAATATCGATATTATCAGAAAATTAATACATAAAATTAAATTCATTACATATTATCGACATATCAGTAACTAACAATAAATTATCGAATAACTTATCGATAATCATTAGCAGCACCTCTATATCTAATGCAGAAGCAAGTTAAAAATATGAAATAATAATTCTTCTACACTCATCAAATCTTCAGTATTACCAATTGTATGATTACGGAACGCCATAACCGAAAATTAAGCTACGAATCACCTCTATGGCCAGTGTCACGATTTCCTTCACGCCCCGTATATCACAATGCGTCCCTCATGCACGGTATTTCGCATTTCCGCCAGGCTACACGATGTTACGCGACCGTGTAATGAACCGTCCGCCTCGTCGGATGCTGCCCGTCTTTTCAGATCGATCGGTATGCGCAGCATTTTCATTAAAAGCTTTCTATCAATTCCTCTACCCTCGGCGTCCTTCGCATTACAAACTTCCTCGTAAAGAAGTCCACTCGGGCGTCGCACAGGCCGCCAAGAAAAATTCAATTTTCGATGTGTGTACGGGTTCATGAAAACAGACATTTCCCCCGATGGGAACAGGTCTCCGTTGAATTATTCGAAGGACAGTTTTATATTCATAACAATTTGATTGCATCCCACTTTATAACTATCGGTTAACATCTTTTCTTTAAAAAGAAAAATCGAGAAATAGCTGTTTTCATATTGGAGGGGCAGTACAGGGTGTCCCAAAATAGCTTCGACTCTCGGAAACGAGGGGTTCCTAGATCCTCTGATTGGTCGGGATTTTTCGTCGGAGAACATTTTCGCTAAGGAAAAAGTTGTTTCATGTCACCCAAGTAACCCCTATTTTGGGACACCTTGTATAGATATTTTGATATAATAGTTTACTGTTTCCACAAAACCATGACGATCACATCATTCACAGAAAACCCATCGAAACTTTTTCACTGACCCTAGACACTGTCAAATTTCAAAGATTTTACAAATTAAGTCACTTCCTTTTAATAAAATTTAACTTCACTTCCAAACAAACACGGTCGAAACAATATTTTCATTATACAAAAATATAAAACTGTCGACGGCAATGCACTTTAGATAGTTTCACACAGTCAACGCGTCCACCGACTCCAACAAAACGTATCTATTTACGGTATCTAGCAGCGATATTTTATTTACATAATTTATTTTTAATTTACTTACCCATTACTCACGATATTTCATTTGCTCACACTATCCCCTACACACACCACCAACACTATCACTAACATTTCTCAAATCCCCCTGTACAATACCACACACACCAAGAACAGTGTCTAAAACGAAACACCTCTACAACCAAAGCACAACCTACCCATACCATCGATCCTGCGAAACTGAGGGTCTGACAAAATCGCCCATTAAAAATCCTCGGCACACTAACCAGTAAATCAACGGACCGCCATATGCTCCGACAGATCCCAACGGAACGATTCTCGCGAGGGCTCACCCCTGAAGTAACTTCGAAGCGAGAATCAGGTAAAAATAAAAAAAAAAGTGACCTTATCGCGAGCGATCCACGACAGGGGTACCCAGAGATCTTTTCCCCCGGTGAGAAAATAAAATTTCGCCCGAGCACAAATATTCATTGGGAATGGCGAGCACGTCAGGGCCCTCCTGGTGATATCGTTATCCGCCAGCGCAGAGTCCGTCTGAGAACCGTGGTGTGGACCACGGCCGCTGCGTCGACTCGAAAATTCACGGATTCGTGGAACGTCCTGCTGACAAAACCGCGCGAACAATTCGTACCTGGGCAGCAGCATCGTCGACGAGTGTTCCCTGGTTGTTTCTGGTAACGGCACTGGCGGCGCATGCTTCTTTTTGCTGAAAAGGACCTGGAAAACAGTCAGACGTAGCATAGAGAGAGGGGTGGGGGCGTAGGGCAGCCATCGTTGGAGCTATCCAAAATTCAACGACGACCAGGAGACGACGTCGACGGGACGGTTATAGGGACGGGACGACGCGGAACCATCAACCTGAACGACCGTCCGCGACGGCACGTGCTATCGTCCACGGTGAAAACCCTGGAGAGGATGGGCATTAAGGGGAAAGGGAGACTCCTGCTTGTTTCACTCGGGATGCGGCGTGGAAACGGTATTAACCCTTTAGCAGTTTCGTCGACGCCATTTTGGCGCGATGTTAAGGGGTAATGGCCAGTCAGGAGGCCGTATAAGAGAGTGATCTTTTCGAATTTTTTTCTCGATAACTGTAACACCTTTTTCAGAAAGTATTGGCGTATTTGAAACAGTGTATTGTAGAGAGTATTGTCTAATTTTTGTAAGTCAAAATATTTGTAACTAAGTTGTGATCGATCTCCAGGAGGTCCATTCAGAAAAATAGTGTTTTATAGTGATTATTGCACTGCTCGGTACTGAGTCATCTGAAATTAAAAATTTAAAAAGATTTCTTTGATATATTAAATTATCTAGTCTTTGAACGAAGGACTTTTTTTCGTTGAATATTTTTTTGGTGACCAAAAACGAGCGACGTTTCTGTCAAAAGTCGCGACTTCACCTGAGAACGTCTCCCGTTTTATAGACTGAACTCTACACATCGTCCGTTGAAACTGACATTATTGCCCTTTCTTCGCATAACGGTGGCCTAACGGGAAATGGCGCAGCCGAATCGCGATGCATCAGCGTAATTCTCGGTGTATAAGATCGTCGGTTGCCCCCTGCGTTCCCGTCTTAAACGCGAAATTACATCTTTCGCGCATGGACGCACAATGTCCCAGCGAATCTGACGCGTCAGCGTTCCACGACCACGGAATCGGGGAGACGAAAAGGATTTCAGAGAGAGAGAGAGGGAGAAAGAGAGAGGATAGTGGGAGGGTAGGATGAAAAGTACTGAATCGGGAGCGCGGCCAAAGGAGATGAGGGTTAGGGGCATTGTTTGAACTGCAAACGAGGAATATCGGCCGCCTAGCAGCTGCTCTTATAGTGCATCCTCGCAGTACTTACTGTCCTCTAAAATTACGATAAGACGAAGAGACGCGCGTATCAGTTGGGAACTAATTAAAATCTGTGGCTATGAATATTGTTGCTTTACAATTTTCCACCAGGTCTTGAAAATAAAATCGGTAGTGCTGATTAATATAAAATGTAAAATGATAAGATGTAAGCTGATTAATATAAATGTAATAAATGGAAAATTGTAGAATGAAATTTTTATTAATACGAAGTTTAAAGGCTCCCACAAATCAACGCGATATATTCGCAGAGGTAGCGAACATTTCGCGGCAACAAATTCGCAACAGTTTTCACACCAATGCGAAAAATTTCCGCAAAAATTTATCTATAAAAAATCTATCGCCGCGAAATATTCGCTGTCGCTGAGAATATGTCCCGTTGGTCTGTGGGAGCCTTAATTTTTGGGAAAACTTATTACGTCATTGCGTCTAAGGTGATGGATTTCACTGATTATTATTGTATATTTCTGAATGAAAATTATCTACATATAAGACTATCCAACAATGAATTGTAACACGAACGATACAAATACGTCAGAATCCTTGTAAACGTGCCTCGATAAAAAAAATCGATTCCCGATCGAATCAGCCAAGTCGGTTACAATCGAACAATTTTCGTTCGTTCAACTTCCACGAAAGTCTCATCGCATCATCCCGTTCTGAATCCCATCCCACGCGTATTTTATCCAGGCTCCGTACCCATTATCCTATATTTGAGGGATAGCTCGGCCACAAATACCGCATAGCCTCGAATTCCAATTTACATTCGACCGGGCTCTATCTCGTCGTTGAAACGCGCATGCTTACTACGCTCGAGACACGAGGGACCTCGCGAAAACACACAGAAAATGCTCCAGGCGAAACACGCCACGATGCGACGGGGCCAACGCGTGCGTGAAACGCGTGTAATAAGCAAACAACAGCCGAGAGAGACCGGCCACGGCGGGGCTAATTAAGTTTCGCTCTTTCGCGTGTTATTTTCACGCCCGCTGGTGGTGGCCCAGGCTCGTCCGGCCGACGTCGGCGTACGTCAGCTTGACGCCTCTTGGATGGGAAGGGGCGCAACAAGTGCGAAACGCGCGAAACCGCGGGTTTTTCTCCTGCTTTCTTTGGCACCGACCTACTTGCTCCCAGTATGAGCATACAGGACGATCGATAAGATGGTGAAAGAGTCTGATAGGGGGTGGGAGTTGAGGGAAACGATGGGTGGTGCTCGATATGGTTGACCAAAGGAAGCTTGTATACAGGGTGAACCACGAATCGTGATCAGTAGATATCATTAAATGTGTTCCAATGTACAGAACGAAATGTTTGTAATATTACAGTTCGAGTATTTCTGTTATTCTTTTCTCGACCCAGATGAAAAAGAAAGTAACACATGTTATGTTATTGAAATCCTCTAACGGATAGGCGTAAAAAAATTATAGGTGTATTTGCAAAAAATTGATGGTGACCTTGAAAAATTATGAAAAAAAAGAGTTCACAAAAAATTTGCTATAATCATGGTACTTAAGAGAAGGAGATGAACGTTACTCGGCATGGTTAACCAAAGAATGCTTGTGCAAGGTGTGAGAATAAAGTTTCGAGAATATTTTTGTTTCTGGGCAAAGCGGCGACAATGTACACCGTTACACCCACTGAACAATCAGTGAGAGGGTAGAAGAGTTTTACGATGTATTTGAGGAAGTAGATGGATGTTGTTTGACCATCGTTCAACGAAGAAAGCTTGTGTATATACTGTAAAATGGGAGAAGAGTCTTATGGCGTAGTTGAAGAAAAATATGGACGTTGTTTGAGATGGTTCAGCCAAGAACATATTTATATTGCGAGACTTTATATAATTTGACAAATTCTATAGGGTATGTATATGATAGTAGACAGATTTAATAAATGTTTCAAAGCAATAGATGAAAGTTACCAGTTAGATAGGGATTATTACAGAAACCTGGTAAATTAGGAGATTTTATGCGAGTATGATGTCCTTGGCTCAATATACATGTATGTACAGGAAGTTTCAGTAGAGTTAGGACACCTAATGGTATAATGCAGTTATAACTGGGCAGATTTTGTCCAGAATACAATTAAATAAATATTTGTCAGAAACTAGACAGTTAAACCTATTAAGCAAATAAATATACAGAACGAGGAACTCGCGTTGTCACTCTCTATCGGATTTTAAATCAACGATTGTTTTATTGCAGGGAAAGGAACCTGCGGATGCAGACAAGGTATGCGGGTCAGACGGGAAGACCTATGCCAACGAATGCTCACTGAAGGTAGCTTCCTGTAAATCTCAGACCCACATCACTGTCAGCTACATTGGCGACTGCGGTAAGTAATCAAAGCGACACACCGCAAGATTTACTCTAGCCTCCATTAATTATTGCTTTCAGTGTTTCTCCACTGAGTTTTTTTTTCGAAGCAATGCATACTCTATCCACTCCACTTATTGAAGTTGAAGTTGAAGTTTCGTTATCGATATTTTCATCGCATCCAGAAGAATCTACGAAACTATTTTAAACAGAATTACTCTCCACAACTACCTTCCTCATCCACTGTACATACAGTACTGAAAATGTTCATTGGATCACTCTCAAATTAACGTAATAGGCACAATTTTCCAACTTACATTTTCGCAGTAAATATTCGTTTTAAATGAAATAAGTCTTTAATATTCGAGTGATGCAATAAATATTCCCAATACTGTACTGTATAGGTAGTAAATAATACTACCTATACAGAAGAATAATCCAATGTCGAAACTATTGTATTTCCGAAATATAATACGTTCCCACCGTAATTGCTTACATTTCGACCCAGAAAATGTTCAAAATCACTGGAGAACACATGTCTTCCGTTCTCGAATTCAAAGCGAACTCGTGACGGAAGTTCGAAGGACATTGGAACAGAGGTAGAAACGGAAAAATGTGTCCCTTTTTCAGAACTGTGTGCACGCGTCGATTGCGAACACGGTGCTCACTGCATGGCCGGTGTGTGCGTTTGCCCGGACGAGTGCCCGGCGAGCAACGGCGAGCCCGTGTGCGGCAGCGATGGGAAAACCTACCCTTCGGAGTGTGAACTGCAGAAGGCGGCCTGCGGCAGGGACCCGAAATTGCCGGTCCTGCACGTGATAGTCTACGGCGATTGCAGCGAGCGATTTGCTGTCGCGGCATTGAGTACGTTTACCGATCTTTTACGAATACGAAATCTTCTGATTTCCCTGAAGTCGTGACGAGAGTTTCACCGGAGACTTGAGGAGCTTTGGTCATTTCTGCGGATCAGATACTTCGAATGGGTATTTGGTTTGTTGCGTGAGAAGGGGCCGTCTTATTCATTGGCTTATATCACTGTGACAGAGGTTCATTAACCCTCATCTGTCCCTCTTTTTTTAAACTTAATTTGTCCCTCGGTGTTAAATTGACACGGTGGTGAAAAATCAATATAACGAAGAGATAAATAGTTAAATTTGCAATTTCTCCGAAATAAAGTCACGGAGTTTCAGCTAAATTTACCTACACATGACAGAATGGCATGATTTCTTAGGGGAAAAATGTGTCAAATTGACACGAGGGACGGATGAGGGTTAAACTGTGAATTTCATAAATTTATGGCAGGCGACTAAATGGAAGACAGTCGAACAGAATACTTTAATGATTATTGTATTTCTCTTCGATTTACTATTCTTGTCAAATTAGACCATAAACAATGTGAATTTGTTTAAAAACGGTAATAATCTGATGATCATCTAGTACTTTATTCTAGCAGTCTAAATATTGAAAGATGAGCTAAGAAGTTATTGCTTAAAAAGAAGCAATATTAGTATTGAGAGATACACAGGCTATAAAGTGTGTGCTGTCCTTAAAGAATTCACAGTAAAATATCAAAACTATCCACGTCAAATATAGTCTATTAACAATAAGCTATTATAACAGCTTACGGCTGTACCTTACACCCTAACATTTTAATTAAGTACGCCATATATAATCACTAGTCCAAGACCTAGCCAAGACATAACGCTCGACATCCAATCGAAAACTCCACAAACCATCGTCACTGTAAAATCACAGCTATCAGGATATCCGCAAAAAAATCCACCACCTCACATGCAGCAACGAAATACTCACAGAGGGTAGGCTGATCTGGCTATTAACATCTCAAAGCTATTAACACGAAAGAACTCGACAAATAATGCTACTTGTCCACCCATTATTTGACCATCAACCTAAGACCCCAAAGAACGAACCAGCAAAGTTCTCCACTAACAGCTCGAACTACTCTTTAACACCGTCCTTTGACCGCCCCTAATAGCCACGATGTCGACGCCCGCGGTGGTTCGATTGGTCACCGCCGCAGTCGACGTGACCAGCACTCAGGGCCGAGAGGATTGCAAGAACATCAACTGCGACTTCGAGGCGACCTGTGAGCTAGGCCCGGACAACTATCCAAGGTGTAGCTGCAAGTTCGACTGTGGCTCGATCTCGCCGGAAAATATACGTCCCGTTTGCGGCAGCGATTTGAGAACCTACACGTCCCTGTGCGCGATGAAGATGGAGGCTTGCCGGAGGCAGCAGGACCTGAGACCTAGACCCCTCGACCTTTGCCAAGGTTCGCAACCACACCCGGGAAACTTACACGTCGATCCTTCCTCCCAACCCAACTGCCTAATAGCCTAGACCGTGACAAACTTACCTTCAACTACCTTAATTGTTCATAGTCTGTCTCTGCACGCCCCCCTTTTGCTGTCTGGCTAATGGGTTAACGAGACGCTTCCTTCTCGTTCCTGACGCTTCGCTGACGCGCTATCCTTACTTCTCGTATTTTGTTGCTCTACGTCGGGACATTTTGAATTCGAATTGTGTATTGGATGCTAGGTTAGAGATTTGACCCCTTGCCTTACAACATCGAGTCAGACACGTGATAACGATTTCAACCTGAATTTAATAAACATTTGTATTATTCGGTTTCTTTGAGTCGACGATATACTGTTCCGCTGGTATTAACATTTAAGGTTTAGAATAAATGTAACGCTTGTCATAGGAACAGAATTCCTTTTGTATCTAGGAAAATATTAACGATAAAATAATTATTGTGTGTGAAGTCGTAAAAAAAAATCGTATGGCAAGGGGTTTATGATACTCGTGTCGGAGTTAATTCTACCGGTTGAGAGTTACGGAAATTTTTATTGAAGTACAGTGGGAATGATATATGAAGCAAACTGCTGAATGATTCATTATTATATTTTGAGGAATCTTGTAATTTAATGTGTACGAACACATTCTGAAAATGTCCACCCTTTAACTCAGGTATGGAAGTGAAACCTTGCAACGGTGATCCGCCCATAGTGGACAGCGATGGAAAGGAGTACGACTGCGGGAATGGACCGGAGCGAAGAGACTGTCCAAGCAACAGTTACTGCCACCAAACCACGAGACTTGCTCGGTGCTGCAAGAAAGGTCAGCTCGAAGACTATGCCCCGTGGTCAAAGACCCTCTAATAATGTTTCACATTCGTTATACATGAATTGCCTATTAATCTAACAATACCTTATCGATCAGAAAATTTCTCGAGTAATCGTTTTATTGGTCGATTTTTCCGTTACACTTGTTCCTAATCTGCAAACACGTGACAGATATCGAAGTGACCTGAAACTTTCACCTATCGGTATCGATGTCACAATAAATCTTCAGGTAGAAGAGTAAGGAAACTAATAATTTTCCAATGTACAGTAAATCATCGGTGAGTGTTCGAAAGCTCCGCGGTACTGAGTGTTCACACGTCATCCTGGGGGTTCCCCATGGAAGCAGTCAAGCGCCCAATATTGGGGATGACGTCTGAACACTCAGTCCCGAGGAACCTTCGAACACTCATCGATGATTTACTGTATTACAATCTACCAGATTCTAAATTTCGAATTATTAATTCACTCCTACCGATTAGTAGGTCAAGAAAATATTGAAAAATGCTAAGAAGATTTCGATCTTACGTAAAAAAAAATAAAAAGATAAATGTAAATAATCGATTCAGCTCGAGAATAAAAAAATAAACGCGTATTATCGATACAGCTCGTGAGGAGAAAAATAAACGTGAATTATATCAATTCAGCTCAAGAAACCCAGGTGGTTAAGTGCGCGGACACCTGGCACGGTTGCTGTCCGGACGGGAAAACTGCTGCACGCGGACCGAACGGTGCAGGTTGTCCGAGTTTGTGCAACTGCAACAGGTTGGGCAGTGTCTCTGACACCTGCAACCCGGAAACAGGGCAATGCGAGTGCAAACCAGGCGTGGGTGGCCTGAAATGCAACGGATGCATGCCGGGCTACTGGGGTTTGCCCAAGATTGGCAAGGGTCATCAAGGATGCATACGTAAGAGCACACGATTAATTGGACTTCGCAGATGGTTTTTTTTCAAAATAAGTTTTACAATTTTAATATTCGTTGTATAATTACAACTAGCGCTGAAAAGTATCCGTTCATCTCTATTAGCGTCACTGTACTTGAGAAATGTGCTAAATTTTTCGGAAAAACTAGTTTCTTTTCACTATAAGGACCATAAAGCTAAAAAAATTCCCAAACAGAAATGAGAAAGAGTATATACCCTTCGTCGATGGTAGAGCGAACATTTGTAAATGTTAAATTTTAGGTATCAGTATTCATAACGTTATGAATTTCGGTTAAATTTTAAATGCTGAAATTAGTAACTTTGATTTTTAAGATGAAAAGAAAATGGTCGTAGTTTTCCCTCGTCACATATATCACGATTGATCCAAGAAATGCATAACGAGACAATACTACCAATGACGAAAAATTCATGAGATTCATGACTTTTATCGTGTAATTTTTCGCATGATTTGGATGTTTCAACTTACGATTCGATGCTTCAGCGTGCGGCTGCTCGCTCTTCGGCTCCATCAGAGAGGACTGCGAACAGATGACGGGTCGATGTGTATGCAAACCAGACATCAAGGGACAGAAATGCACGATCTGCACCGGTCACAACAAGATATTAACACCGACTGGCTGCTATTCAGGTATCAGGCGAGAGGGTGCCTGCGTGTTCACGAAAACCCCTAGAATATAACACTATTGATTATTTTCCCGAAGCTCAATTAGACTTGTCAGATAAAAAATAGTGGCATAATGCCACTGAAAAGAAATATTAACCATAACAAATTATATTCTTGGAAACAAAATAATGGTTTTCCTCATTCCTACAGAAAAAACAAGTACCACTATTAAATTCATTTTATCAGACATTTAATTCTGTTCAAACTGAATCACACTATCACTTCAATTATTCCATAAAGCCCCACCCTATTTTATTCTAGGCGTTCCTACGTATTATACACTACCGTTCACAAGTATTAACTCTTAACTAGTGAGATGGAAATCTTACTACTTATTATACAAATCTTATTACTTATCACTAGACCCTGGATGTTTATGCAGACATCGAATTTTGTGGATTACCTTCTCGAAAATGATCGCAGAGAAACTAATCCTTCTATTATAGTAATTTTATTATTAAAATCTACTCGCATACATTTGTGGATTTTTCGTGCTTAAGGTCACACAAAGGTCACACCATCATAAGTAATTGAAATTTCGGAAAGTATAACCTCGAGAAAAATATTCGCTTATCATAGTATTTGCTCCTTCTGACCAAATAATACTCTCCCCTCACATTGCTTTGTGTCTTCAAAAACAAAGGAGATATTGAAAGTGCTCACGTTAAGTGGGACACCTTATATAGATACTGTATAAAAATTGAATCCTTGCACGAAAGGTTCTTTTAGATTCCGAATAAAATAAAAAATTCATTAAACCATACTTTCTGAACATTTTATCATAACTAAGTTTTAGACACCAAAATGCATGGGCGTAGCCAGGTTGTCAGTCAAGGGAGGGTAAAAAATATTAACATATCGACTTCCCCAGTGAAAAATACGTAGCCAGAAACACTTAATTTTGTTTTTAAAGTCATAAATCGTTGAAAATGTGGCAAAAGCCATCCGTCCAGAGGGAGGGGGCAAGTGCCCTCCCTGGCTACGCCCATGCCTAGACGTGCAATAAATGCATAAACATCTATGTACACATCGTGTATCCACCATATAATCGAAACCACAGTGTAATATTCTGACCAATTTACCCATGTATATATTGACGGGATCATTCTGTGTGTTTGCAGCGGATACGATACCGCCGATGCCGACGTCCTGCAACGAGCTGGAATGTTATTCAGGCGGTCACTGCTCGGAGATCGGTGGCCCACACTGCGTCTGTCCGTCGTCCTGTCCATCGGACATACCGTCGGTCCCGGTCTGCGGTAGCGACGGACAGACATACGACAACGAATGCGAGCTAAGGCTCTACGCTTGTCGCCACCAGGCGGACGTGGTCACGCAGGCGTTCGGCCACTGCAGAGGTGGGTTCATTGAGCGTACGCCGTACAGGCCGCCTTATATTCTGCGTTACTAACCTCCTCGCAATTACCGACCGAAGTGCACGCACTTTTTCACCGTTTCGAGGAACCGAACCCCTGAAAAGGACAGTGTCCCCGAAAGAATATTAGAAATTCATACGCGTGCAGGATTCCGCAACATCGTCGTACACGTTACCAGAGTCTATGCTTGATCGGGATAGAAGATATGTAATACCTTGGTTATGTTTACGAATTTTTGTTCCTCTTCAGAGCGCAGAGATTTTTCTTTTATCGTGTGTCACAGTCACGTGAATGGTATATGAACAGATACGTTCGAAATATCTTTTATTAATTTCAAGCACATGTTCCGACGTTTCATACTGGATTCGAGTGTCACTCAGGTTGTACTGGGTCGTTTCGAGGTTCGAGTTGCAAGCAGATGGCGCTTCGAGCGCGCCGATTCGTCAGGTCTCCGGAAGTTCCGGTTATTTTGAAATTATATCTATACGTCGATACGGAACGTATTAAACATTTTGCATTGTTCGATTTGGCAAGTATATACCAGGGTGAAAAGAAAGAAAGGTAGATTGGAATTTGTGTCGAGTTGTTGAAAAAGATGCTGTTGGGTAGTTTGTGAAATGAACGAGTAATAGATATTTGAATGCATAGACCAAACGTTTGAATCGATTATTTTACCAAAAAGTGTACCAAGAATTGTTTTATTATAGTTTATCGCAAATACCTACGCCAAGAACATTCCGCGAGACCTAATAATATTTGTCGAGGATCGTTTTAAAGTTAAAGCATCTCTGCGTGAAACTAGGCCTACTTCAATCTCAGTTTTGCTATAGATGAGCAACGAATATGACGCGTACCAATGTTAACGTTAGGCGATTAAATAAAGTTAACGGAAACAACGAGATTCCGTTAAAATGGCGGCAGTCTTAACGATTTCGAGGGTTGAAATACGATATAAATTTTAGAATAGATAAATAGTAGGTACCTAAGTGGCCGATTATTTAGGATCGCATGTTACTTAGAAGCCCGATGGTACTGAAACATTAACGACATTGTTACCGTCGCTTAGGAGACGTCGAAACGATCTCGCGAAGCTTGATCGAACACCTAGGACTAACAACTAACAACCTGTTCCTTTGTAATCCATAACGTGATAATAAACTTATCAAGTTTCTACTAACATGTATAAATATATGTTTGTAACCCCCCTCGCCCGCTACTTTGCTTGCTTTCTTCGTTACCATCGTGTCGTGATTAACGATAATGATTTCATTATGGGGACACATCCGAAGAACCGTCCGAGGAGAATGAAAGAAAGCAAAGTGAGTACTAACAATAGACATTACGTCGACGTGTACATCGTTTTGTTTATCGTCGTTGAAGCGCCCTTGACCTCGACTACTGAAATAAGAAAGGACATCAAAAAAGGACAATCACTTCACAGTTTACCACAAGAATATATATGATATCGATGAGTTTTATTATAAATCATTCGATGCAGTTCTCTTCTGAAGAAATACATCGCATATAAGTAGTACAGAAAGTTTAGAAGAATCTGTAATTTAATTTCGTCCCAGGATTCAATATTTGGATTAGAACGCATTTTTTCTGACAACGTCGAAGCATTAGCAGTTAGTATACAGAACTTTGGTTTACATTAACCTTTATTAAAAAAGGACTCAGAGACATCTGTTGCACATGTCATCACAACACATTTCTTGTACGAATAAAATGTAATGTTTTGTAAAAATTATAGATTTAAATGATAATTTTAAAATTACTACTTCATAGTAGCATAAACGTTCTCCATCGAGCTTTACGATCGCACTTAAAAAACAATAACCTTGAGAAAAGATCTTCTATATTGCAATAATTGCCCCACTGAAGCAAACATTTGTTTTCCTTATACATTTTCTCGTATCATTAAAGACAACGGCGAAATTTCAGGTGAACATCTTAGACGTCCCAGCCCGAATAGGTGTCTCCGTGTAATATGTATGAAAAATGTAAACATTCCGCAACTCATAACTTCCCTAACATCACCGCAGCGACAGACGAATACAAAAAACGTCTCTGCACGAATTCATCTGTCCTGTAACATTTTAATCGTCGAACAAAGAATCACTGTTCAAAAAGTAAATGAACGAAACAGTCTTTAATGCCAATTTAACATCCGTTTCACTCACGGAACGATGCCACGGAATCGAAGAATAACGGATGAAGTCGAACCCCCAGGATCCATGGAGTTTCCTTCATCCCCCCTTGGGGGTGAATGGTGCGCTATCTTACTCGTAGGTAAATTCCGGTGGAAAGTTAGCGACGTTAACTCGCGAAACTAAGCGCCGAACGTGGATTTAACTAAATCACCGTCGACTGCCGGGGCGAAGTCTCGTCTTAAGTGGTCCCGGTGAGATATGCCCGGTCCGGAAGTTAACATCGGGAACCTTAAGAAAACGGTAACCGAACGTCTTGCCGCGGCCGTTAAGCACCGCCTCCCCACCCCACTTCCGGTCAAAATAAATTAGCCCCACGGCGAACTTCCGAACGAGCGTTTGTACCGACTGCTTTTTGATACCGTTGTCCGCCATAAATCCATCCCCTCCGACCCTCGGTTCCACAAGGGGAAAGGGGGTGGGGGGGTTGTCGAGCCGAAACGTATCGAGGGCCGCGATAAATCTGTCGAATCGACGAACAGGGTAAAGAATTCACGTTGCATAGCGGTTCCAATCAGTTTCCGCGAGTTCCACCGCCCCGGGGAAACTTATTGGATGCGCGAAAGTTTTTGGAACCACCGAATGTTTCGTTGCCTCCGATTTCGCGTCGAGGTTCCACGGCGAGGTCGTTCCCCCGAGGAAAATGTGTAATTGACCGCTCGAGGAGAAATATGTATCTGGGTGATTTATTTCATTTTTTGCGGTCGACGTTGTTAATGGAAATTTCGAGGAGTTATTAGGTAGGTTATTGTGTGATTAGTAGGTAGATTGCACTGTACCAATTTTATTATACCCTGTAGCACATGAATATAAATCAGCTCCTTTTCTAATGAACGAAGTTGACGAAATGAGAAACATGTGTGGCATGTAATACTTTATGCAGTAAATACTTCACATAAAGAATTAGAGTATCCACTAGTGTTGATACCTTGAAAAAGGGATGCAAACATTTAGTAGCAGTACATATTAACATAAATTACATTACTTTATCACATCGGAACAATTTATTCTCAATCAACCCTCTACAGTCTAAATTTTTCTCGTGATTATAACAAAAATGTATGTATCATGAAATCAACAAATATCAACCTCTAAATACTAATTAACAATTTAATTTGCAGTAATAGCAAAGATTTTATTATTACTCCGATATCTCGATAGAGTTGATAATCACCACAAAAAATCTGATAGGTTACTAAAGAATTAAATTACACAAAAAACAAATATCAGTATGTGACTTTAAAGGGACACAGGGCTAGAGGGTTAAAAACCTCAAGATAATACTGAAATCTTAAGAAATCTGAACATTACAGGCAGTACAGCGTGAATCCATACAGTGTTCAATCCCAACCAATCGTTTTACGGATCTCCCGTACCTTTTCCAAATCCCTTTTTAAAACACCACATAGTACCAGCCGCGTTTCTGGCAATGTCGTCGCTGTGAATTCACGCGTGACTCGTCGATCCAATCGGATTACGTGCCGAATCTCGCAACAGGAAAAGGAAACTCGAAAGCAAAGAGGGTAGAAAAAAAATAGAGATGGAGAGAAGACGTTCCCGGCAAGATCCACGTCCCGAAAGTATTCCGCAACCGCCGCCGACAAAGTTCGCGGAACGAAACGTCGGAATCTATTAAAGTCCTCCTGCTGGTTCCGTAACCTTTCACCCCTTATTTTCGATTGCTCAGCCCCTTCGACAGACCCCCCCCCCTCCCCCGTCGTCGTCCGGTCCTCTACGGTCGCTGGGAAGTCAATCTCGAAAAAAGTTCTTCCTGGAGACTCGTCCTAAGGAGTCAAACATAAATCAGATTACTCCGAGCTGGCGAACCTTACCCTCTTTCTCCACCCTCCCTTCCACACAATCCCCGACCTCCCCCCTTTCTTCGTTGAACACGCGCTACAGAAGCACCAGGATCTTCTCGTTTCTCGATCGCTTCTTTTTGCTGCGTTTTCTTCTGTGTTCGGTCGACAACGGGCCAGAAGGAAAAAATCGCGGGACCATACGGAAAAGGTCACCCCTTTGACCCTTGATACTGGAACTACCAAGTCAGAATGATTTGTTAGTACAATCTTGCAACGATGATTACAATGTTGTAACTAGACTTCGGATGTTTATGCTTTTATAGCATTTCTTAAATACAATAAAAATTAGATTTTAATAAAGTTCAATGTTATTTGTATGTTATTATTAGACTGCGGATTTTTATGCGAAATGAAAGTTTCTGAAGTAATTTATTGAGACAGGAGCAATCGTAGAAATATATTTTCCCTCTTAAGTATCCTATTGGGTTCAGAATAAAATAGAGACCTCGTTGGGTCCGATGAAAGTTTAATTTTTTAGTGTACTTCACAGAGCCATATAGACTATAAATGCATAAAATCCGCAGTCTAGTTATTACTAATGTAGTGAAGCCATTAAAATTCAAGATTCTGTTCAATTTTAATTTTCAGTCTAGTTATAACAATACCATAAAATCTTTTGCAACTGTTATTATAATATGAAGATGAAGAAACTAGAAACTAGTGTTTATCGACCGATCGAAATGGATATGCGTTTATCGTTGGTAATTCTAGTGTTAAATAATGGTAACGTGAGATTTTTCAAGACTTTATTGAGGGAACTTGACAGTCATTTAGATAATGGCAACATGAGATTTTTTGGGATTTCAGTGGGGGAATTTAACAGTCACTAGTCTGATCGATGGATCTGTATTTTGCTTACGGCGTGGCCGGTTGATGGCGCGTGAAAATATTATAATGGGGTGAATTCGAGCGATGTACGAAGGTTTTGGATAGCGACGATGAATCATTTTGGAGTTTTGACTGGTAATACAGTATGGCTGACTTTATGGCTTGAAGGGTTCATGATTTAGAGGTTTTATCGATGGATTTTATTAGTTAAAACTAATGATAGAATATTTTCAAAGTTGTGCCCTGCGATTTAAAAGTTCGCAAGATAGTTCAGTCTTCGGGATGAATTAAGAAATAGTTTGTGTCGCTTATATTCTTTAAAAAGTAAAGTTTCCAGTCTGTTAACTGGGACGTCCATCGATCAAAAAAGTCTCACCTGTGTGTTCAGATGTAAATCTGGAGAGGCGAGTTATCTCGTCTTGCCCTGAACAAAGATGAAGTACCTCAATTCACTTCTGATAGGAATATAATAAAATTAAAGACATATGTTCTTCGATTAATGAATAAACAGATTACCCACTTGATAAATATTACAATTAAAAATATAAAATTGTTGTGTTAGTTCCTTAATTACGTACAATAAGAATAACCCATTATAAACGAACATAAAATATAGTACTTCTTTAGTGTTAGTTAATCCTAGTCTTGCCCACTTAACTGATTAAAAACTAACCCCTCTCGTTAGCGTGTCACCCTTATGAACAGACAGCGAAAGTTTATGCATCTATTAAATTTTCTAATTTACAAAACACAGTAAAACCTGTCCCACTCAGATTCAAAGGGTTAATATCGATCCAATTCTTTTTTAACTTTTTGTTAAAATTCATTTCTTGCTCAGAATTTAAAAAAGTTATTACTTCTCGACATCGTCGAATACTTAGTTGAACAAGTCTCAATGTGTCCCATAAATCGAGGAAACGTCGCACATCTCCAATTCTTCAATTTCACGCTAACCACCCGTTATTTTTCAACAGTGGACAGACACGAGAGAAAAGTTTCGTTGTCGTATTGTCCGAGAGTCGATAAACGAGTCGATTATATCGAGAGGAATACCGGAATACCGTGGTCGAAGAGTGGCGATGACGCAGGTGGGGGTGAAACAAAGGAAAAAATAGCACGGCGGAAGTCGTCGATGTGAAATAATAGGAAGCAACGCTGCAATTGGAAAGTAATTAAAATCCCATCAAGCCTTCTCGAACTCCTGTTATCGGAGAACGGGATAGGGAAACCTCGCGTAACTGCCTCCGATAGAATTAGCTTTTCGATTCTCATTATTTAGAGAAATTGCGACGCACCCCCGCCTTTTCCTCGGCCCGGCTGAATTCGACGTTGTATCCGGGCTCTGATTTCCCTGTCATCCGGGTGGAACGGAAAATCGTTCGACGATTATAAAGGGGTCTGCGACGGCGAATTATTTGTGCACCGTGAACGATCGAAAGGTCTCATTAAATAGAAGAAATTTACAGAGCGTATTCGGAATATTATTATTACTGATTTCTATTTAAAAATAATAAAGATTCAATATATGAGGAACAAGAATTTGTAATTATTACTTGTCAATTTAGTTTAATTTTAGTTACCCCCATTCCGCAGAATAATTCCTGGAACAAGAATTTGTAATTATTACAAATTCAAGTTGGATGAAGATTTATTATTTCGATGAATATTTTCAATAGGTCAAAAGAAATGTGAGGTCCTTGTTGAAGTTTATAGTTCACATAGTACAATGGATTCATAGTTCATAGTTTGACTATTATTAGGCTATTTCTAACGTAATACAAAGAGAAAAATATATGAATCGATCTTCAACCCCTATACTTGGTTACAATTATACTGATATAATTACAATTGCTGAATTCAGCCTAATTAAAATAAAATTAATGAACAATTTGAAACTCTAACTACATGATGAGATAAATTTTATTATGGAATATCCCCTCGATCGATTCTAAAAGCTGTACATAACTATCTTTTAAGCTTCTGAAGATAATCCAAGCGTCAAAAACAAAGTTACTCATCTTCGACTCGTTCTTTCTTGGTTAATCTTATTGAATCAATTAATAAAAAGAGAAATGAATAAGATCAGGATTCCTATACTTTTAAAAAGTTTAGAATTGCTTACTGATCTTGTTTCTCAAGCTATTCCTCCTTCGAATAGGTGACCACGATAGAACTTTTAATAAAATGGACGCACTAATTCTGTAATAAATAAATCACTCAATTAAATCGTACTGTTTTGACTATTTAATAAAAAGATTACAGAGTACCTACAATACACATGAAACGAATTGCACGTTGCTATTCGTTGCTCGTCTATGGCACACTGAATTAGATCCGCCTAAATAATTTTAAATCCCCCCAAATAATTTTATATCCGCCGGGACAATAGCAGACGCGCGCTCTATTGTCGAAACTTTCCGCGGAACAGCACCAGAATGTCGGAATCTCGTGAAATTTTCAGACGATCCCATGGTGAACACGGACTTCCCAGAGAAAAGGTACACCGAGGTCCAATACACCCAGCCGGCAGCCGCCATTTCTCCATTATCAAAATCCACCAGGCATCTGTTGGTGCCGGAACCGGATCCACGGTATTATTACACTCACCGGGCCCATCAAGAAACCATCACGATCGACAGAGACAATTTAAAACACGGTAAACATTCCCCACTTTCAATTACCCCCATTCCGCAGAATAATTTCTGGAACTTGATCATAAACATTGATATTTATCCAGAAAATAAGTCTTTTATTTTTTTTTACCACATTCACAGACGTCAATCCTTTCGTAAAAATTTTCGATTACATTTTTGCATAACTCTTTCAAAAATTCAATTAAAAAAAAAAAAGTAACACATGTTATGTTATGATACTTGCCGAATTCGTCTCGAAATCCTCTAACAGATAGGCGTACAAAAATTATAGGTGTATTTGCGAAAAATTGAAGGTGACTTTGAAAAATCATGAAGAAAAAGGAGTTGACAAAAAATTTGTTATAATCACGTTACATCTCTCTCGACACCATGCTATACCTGATAAAAAAATTTTCGATCGGACTACTAATAATAGAGTAATCTCTACCGATCACGATTCGTGGTTCACCCTGTATATGTGTGTCGTCGCTTTGAAACACGCCACTCTGAAATCCGTTTCGCGGTTAATTCCTGGATCAGCTTTCGACGTCGTCGATCGGATCGATACGGTTACGAACGCCGTCTACTACCTACGTTACGAGACAAAGAGGTGAAACGAACGGATGAGAATCGATTTATCGTCGGGATAACGGTTTTCCAGGTGTGGAGGCCGCGTACAGACCGACTCCGGCGACGATACGCGTGGTCACCGCGCTGCTCGGCGATCTGTGCACGGACGACAAAGACTGCACCATACCGAACAGCGAGTGCTCGAACGGCGGCTGCATATGCTCCGAGGGATACGCGGAGACTAGCGATAGACAGGAATGCTTTGGTAAATAATTGAATATTAGTATTATCCATCCCTCCTATGACGAAAAGTATTTAATGGAGGAAACTGGAAATTTGTCGCGCAATTTATACTGTCGTGTTGAATAGTAAAAGTGTATGTACTAATGCCGAAAGAAATGGAATTAATTATAAAAATATTGTATCTTTAGTTGCTTAGATGATACAGAAGAATTTCAGATGTTAAAGGAAGACTTTAGCCGAGCGTTTCCCAACATTTTTTAGACCATTCCCCATCTCAACGCCTCAAACATTTTATTGACCCCTTAGCATAATAGTAAATCAAATTTTGAAAAAACGTTTAATATTAATAGATAGTTTGTAGTAGCATTCATAAAATAGTATTTTTGAATGCCATCATTTTTAATAATATTTTATGATATAGTGTAAAATGGTATTTTTCGTTTTCAGTATGCGTGTAAATAATTGCTGCAGAGATCACATTAATTCATTCGATGAAATACTTTCGGCCAGTACTTGGATTTTTCCTAAACAGGCTATCATTAGGTAGAATGTTTCATTTTAACTCGATCACTGAAATAGTTGTTTCATCTTGTAGAGTAATTAATGAATTGCAGATCTTTTGATGGTGTAACTTACAGAAATCGGTACACAACAGGAATATATTTTCTCAATTAATAGTTGAGTGAAAGAGTTACAGAAACATTATTTTACGAATTACTGATAACAGTAGCCCCACACGTATTCATGTTCACGTGATTGATCACGCGCTTCGCAGATTTGATGCTTATCCCAATTGTCCGATAATCACATGCTTATTCTACTTGTCTGACAGTAACATGTTCGTTCTACTTGTTCAACTGTAACATGCTTATTCTACTTATCTGACCATAAACTGTGTATTCTGTACTTATGACTATAAACGACCTGTTCCACTTTCCAGCCACTGAACAACATATTTTACCATACACGAATAAATCTACTTGTCCACTCACATCAATTTTATTCTACTTGCTCGGTCACAGACCTGTATTCGTAGTGTGTCGTATTCTACTTACGCCACTATGAACAACATATTTCATTTACCGATCCATGACAGACTTATTCTACTTATCTGTCCATAGATAATACGTTCTACATATCTGACAATACACGATCAATTGTACTTGCATGATCTCAAATGACAAATTCTATCATAAATGGCCAGTGATGCTGGTCTTATTCTACTTTCTATGCTATAATCTATGGATAATACATTCCACATTTCTGACAAATAAAACAATCAATTGCATTTTCCTAATTCCAAATGAAACCTCCCATAAACGGCCAATGATATTCGTCTGACCACAGCAGTCTTATTCTACTTTCTTAGACGACAGACCATATACATACTCTACTATACTCTGTATGCCTGACCATCGAACGACCGATTCTACTCGCCCGACCATCATCCCTCGAACGGATCCACAGAAACGAATCTAATTAACCTGTTTCCAGCTAATTACGTGCCGGTCACACCGACCGAAGAGTTCCGTGCCTGCCTGTCGTATCCGTGTCACGCGACATCGACCTGCATCGATCTGCCAAGCGCGACGTTCGTGTGCATCTGCCGGCCGAATTACACCGGTTTATTGTGCGACGAGGAGATCAACAAACGGGATTACGAGGTGCCGTCGTTCGACGGGAAGAGCTACGTAAGGATGAGCAGGCTGAAGGCTTACCACAAGTTCAGCATCGAGGTGGAGTTCAAGACGTACGCTGACAATGGGATTATACTTTACAACCAACAGAAGAGCGACGGGACAGGGGATTTCGTGTCGCTGGCCATCGTCGACGGGTTCGTATCTGTTTACCACCTAAGCTAACACCGAAAACAGGGAATTAACGTGGTCATTGTTCCATGTATTACCGAATAATTAACGATCGGAAATATTCTTGTGATGTATAAAAGCGGATATTGAATATTTGTCAATTTCAACCCTTTTATGTTCGATCTCTTGAAATGTCTTTCACCTGCTATGGTCCTGAATCCATCTATGCATTCGAAATAATGACGAGGAAAGAGGAATACGTAGATCACTAACAATTTTATTTCATATTTCGTGAACCCAATGAGAGATTAAGATTACATCGGGAAAATGTAAGAAGTCGCAAGAGCGTTTAAGAAATGTGATTAGGTCGAAGTACAAGAAAATACATTTTCTGTAACAGCTGAATAATCGTACACACGGAATTTATGATGTGTGTTGTTATTGGGGTGTACCAATGAATAATTTACAAGGTTCTGCCAACTTGAATACTTATTTTCATAAAATTAAAAAACTACATTCGTGCAATAATATCTAATATCTCCCACATCATCTGCCATTTTTACAATGGAAAAGAGTTATTAATACTTTATTAATACAAACTACTGGATTACTTATTGGTACACCTAATATTTAACTAAAAATAGTACATTTACTGTAACCATTCATATACACAATTCAATATTTACAAACACACCCATCAGAATTTTCTAGAGTGATAAAAATCGAGAAGTGAAGCGATAGTAAAGAATTTACACGTGTCCTAAAGAGTTGATTGTAAATATGAACCCGAAATTAATTCTTCGATCGACAAACCCGACACAGACCGAGCTAATTATTTCACGAGTTTCATGTTCGCTATAGTAAACGTTCTCCGTCTAACTTCTCCCACAGTCACGTGGAGTTTCGATACAATTTGGGAAACGGACCGGTGATTCTAACTTCTCCGGAGAGGGTCACTATGAAAACGTACCACCGTGTGGCGGCGAAGAGGTACCACAAGGACGGGGTTCTGATTTTCAACGACGGCGAGGACGTGGCCGGTCAAAGCCAAGGGATGCTGAAGTCGTTGGACTTGAACCAGAACACGTTCATCGGGAACATGCCCACAAATTTCTCCAAGTAAGTATCGTTAGAGTGCTCCGCGAAACGTCTTGAAGTTAAATTACAGGCAATCCGCTTATATCATAGTGGTTAGGGTCCTAAATGTTTCCTTGTTATGGGAATTAGTGTCGTACTGGGCTAAAAACTATAACTAGCGAAGCTACAACTATTCTACGCAATTATTTAACCGCGTTATTCGAGGGTATTCTCAATTCTTTAACCTTGTTATGGGAATGCCGTGTTAACCACTTAGGAGAAACATAAATCGTTCGATCTAGTACTGAAATTTTCTTTCACAATTCTTCTGATTGTTCTTTTAAAAATAATGACAAATTGTTAATAATTGTTTTCTCCTGGCCTCTAGTAAATTTAATTATTCCAGGAAGCTTCAAAAAAATTGTTTATGGAATAGTTAAAAATTAATAAAAAATCGAAGAAACAAAAAAAGGAGTTCTTACACCTATTAGTGAGCCATTAAAACAAATTTACTTCATTTTTTTAAAAAAATATATCTACTAAAATTTAGACGTAACAAGGAAATCATGACTTTATTCCATAAAAGTATATTATTTATCACTACCTCCGTGCAGGTGCGACTTCTTGTAACTTTCACTTAGACCGTTTGAAGAATCAACCAAATTCTCAGATTCAACATTAAGATACGAAATTTAATAAATAAAGCAGCTTAAGTATAACAGTTCAATCTAGGTATTAATTTCCCCGAGTAAAATCGGAGTTGACCTTCGTTAAAAAAAAATGATTTCACACCTCGATAATACCAACACTGTCCGTAATTGTGTCACTTAGACTCGCGAAACAATAGATCGAAGGCTCCCCATAAAAACGCCACATTAGAAAAAACTTCTCACGCAATTTCATTGACATACAATTTTCTCGCTTTCATTAGAGTATACGAAAATATCGGCACGAACCACGGTTTCCTCGGTTGCATCCGTAAGCTGAAGATCAACCGAAACTTCGTGGACCTTCACGTGGGCAACGACAAAGACATCCTGGAGACGTACCGAGTGAAGGAGTGCGGGGAGAACGCGTGCGCGAATCTGCCCTGTCAGAACGGTGCGACCTGTCAGCCGATCTTCGAGGAGGATCTCTGCGACGGCCGTGAGTGCCGTAGGATCCAGAAACGTGGGAAGGGTAGAAACAAGGGTGGCGTGAACATCGTTCGTTGCCAGGGATCGCATTGCACAGCGATCGATCAACGGCGATCGAAGAAGAACGGGAAGAAACGTTGCGCGACCCCGAAGTGCGATTACGATTACGAGGTCGATTACGAGAACGGTTACGAACACGGGAATTACGCGGTGGAGAAGTACGATCCACCTGATTACAGGTGCATCTGTCCACCCCAGTTCACAGGTAGAAACTGCGAGGAATCGTTAGATCCTTGCATCGGCGAACCATGCCAACATGGCGCCACCTGCGACATACTTCCGCAGGGCGGTTACGTTTGCAAGTGCCCACCTGGACGAACCGGTGAACACTGTGAAATTCGTGAGTATATCAGTTTTTTAGTGGTCGATGAGACTGCTTGTGAAATAGTTCGCTAGTAGACTGTGGAATTGCAGAAAATTTTCGATAAGTGCTCGACATTCGGGATCGCTTTGAAACTGTTATCGTAGAGGAACGAAATTTCTAAATCTGATCAATTTCCGGGTTTTGGCATGAAATTCTAGACTGCTCGAAAAACGGTTTGATAGTAGACTGTGGGACCACAGTAAACCTTCGATAAATTCTCAGTTAGATGAACGCAAAGAAATGAACAGTTGTAGAGGGAAAAAATTTTCGGATTTTTGCATAAAATTCTAGACTGCTCGAGGAACGATTCGCTAGTAGACTGTGGGATCACAGTAAATCTTCGATAAATGCTCAATACTCGGGATCGTTTTGGAACAGTTATTGTAGAAGGATAAAATTTCCGAACCTGATTAATTTCCGGATTTTGGCATAAAATTCTAGATTCCTCGAGGAAGGGTTCCCTAGTAGACTGTAGGACCACAGTAAATTTTCGATAAATGCTCAGTTAAATGAACTAAAAAAAAATTAACAGTTATCTTAAAGGGACAAAATTTCCGAACCTAATCAATTTCAATCCTCATTTTGGAAATCGTTGGTTCCTTTTCCCGATTCAAAACCAAACCAATGTCTCCAACAGGCTACAGATATTTATACTAATTGACATATTATGTGGACCAACTTATTGGTATTAAATGGAAACATAAAAAGTATTTTCCCTTCCTTCCACTATACATTATCATATTAAGTCCCGAGCTGATTTCAATGACCTTTCTGTTTACGAATCTTCCAAAATTTTGCAAGAAATATTTTGAACAGATATGTCTGAAAGAAAGCTGGAAATACGAGTCCCATTGTAAAAGTTTGAAAAACAAGGTATTATCCTCTACATTTCATATAGATTCATCGTTAGTAAGTTATTAACTTAACCGACCACGACCCGAACGGAAAATCTACTATCGGTCACCGGTGTCCGACACGGCACTTAAAGTATCCGTTCGTAATATAATATTCTAACTGAAACAGTATTAATTAATTAACGAAATTTGCAGTCTATCGATCATAGTACTCAGAGAACAATATCTCTCGGTCCGTGTGCACGCCTAACAATCGCAACCTCGAACTGATTACAGTGGATGCCGAACTAACGGAGTTGCTGATACCCGAGATGTCCGGGGACGGTTTCCTGGAGCTTCCCTGTCTGGAGGGTGTTGCGAAAGCGTTCTCGATCGAGCTGTGGTTCCTCACGCACGCGAGCGACGGTCTGCTTCTGTACAACGGCCAACTGAACAACGGCCGCGGTGATTTCATTAGTCTGAACCTGGTCCACGGTAAATTGGAGTTCAGATTCAATCTTGGGAGTGGCATCGCCAATATCACCTCGCCGGACACCGTTACCCTCGACACCTGGCACTGCGTGCGAGTCAGCAGACTCGGCAGAGAGGGTGTTCTCCAATTGGACGACGGTACGGTCGCCAGAGGATTGTCCGGCAGCCCTCTGACCGAACTGAATTTGGAGATGCCGCTTTACGTCGGCGGCGTTAAGTACGTACGGAATATCAATCGAATGATTTTCTTCTGACACGAGAACCGACGTGAATTGAAAACCTCGACCATCCTTTCTAGCTTAGCTTTCTGATCTAGAGATTCTGAATATTGAGAGATTATACAGGGTGCTTTTGGAAATAAATATTGAGAACTTTGAGAAATTATTTTGAAGGTCTTTCTGAGTGGTGCATAGATTTCGAAACGAATGAAGATTTGAAACATCACTAAATATCAATTTTAATTGAATAATTTTCTGTTGTTAATGGTAGATGATGAGGATGAAAAGAATACATTTTTCGTGTACAATATCCTGTACAATACATTATCCCTGTTCTTAAAGGTTATTAATTTGGAAACGAAACCTCCAGTACAATTTTGTCATTCTGGATTTTTTCAATTGACTCTTAGAGTTTCTGACAACATTACCCGGACACCCTGTATAAAAATGAAATGGAAGTAAATATTGTTTGAACAGTTGAACATTGATTTGACGTGGGGTTACAGACATTGGCGTGAGGTTCATCGTCTAGCAGGAGCCTGGACGGGATTAGTAGGCGCGGTGCAGAGGCTGATGGTGAACGGAAAGACGTACCAGAACCTGGCCGTAAATGTTACTCAACACAACACGGAGATTTACGATGGTTTGCCCTGCCCAAGTAACGAGAATCCTTGTCACAACGGCGGTGTGTGTTTGCCTCTTCTGAACAGCTATCTGTGCAAGTGCGCCAGCGGTTACAACGGCTTGCATTGCGAATTTTGTAAGTTCACCAGTTTCGTACAATTAGACTAGAAATAAAAATAAAGGAACCATTTGGGTCCAATAATTTGTGTGGAGTATCAGATCGTACTAGTGCATTTATGATAGTTCATGGGTTATGTCAATATAGAACATCACTCCATTGTTTTCCATCAGTCAACTTTGAGGGGTGATTTCATCCCCTAAACATGAATCTTATAAATGAAAAAATACGCCGAATAGTTTCCGTCATTTCCACTCTGTGTGAAGTTTTATGAAAATTCGGATCGAGTGGTTTTGGGCCACAAATTAATTTATACACCTAATATGCATACAATTATAGTGTACTATGATATACACTACTTTCTATAAAAGCCTTAATATCTCACAACACTACTGTTGAGCCATATCTCCCTCTTGCACTGAACCCCACAATTGTCGTTGTCACTATTTTTAATCTCACTGAATTCTTGAAGAACTGCACACGATACAAATAAATTAAATACAATCCACTGATGATGATACGTTAGGAATACGACGGGTGAGATGTAAATGGATGTTCACTATATTCGCGAGAACAAAAACCTAGTTTATTTAATAACGAATAAATTAATATAAAAACTGTATGTGAAAGTATTTCACGCAACAAATGATGATACGAAAAATCGGGAACATTCGATACAACAAGTGCACGCGCGGACGGCTAGCTACAATTTAACGTCTTCGTGCCGATCCTCGATGGTCGCACAGAGAAAGTCGTACACCTAAAAAATAGACAAAGTTTCCGAGGGAAAGGGAAAACCTTTTCCTCGGCAAATAAAATTTACGTATATACGTGACTGTGCGACGGTGCTAAACAGACCCGTAGGCCTGCAACGCACATGTTTTACTACCCTTTTGTCCAAGGACAAGGTCACTCGAAACCCTCGATTTCAACAAGAGAAAAGTTTTCTTTCGTTTGAAGCAAAAACTTTCCTCTCACGTTTCTGCCCGCTACATACGTTTCCATTAATTGTTCCAGTCATGGGCTACGACGTATCCACCGAGGTGTTCGAACGGCCGGTACGCTTCAAGGGCGACAACTTCCTGCAATTCCGTCATCGTAACGGTCGAAGGTAAACGCAACGCAGACCGACACTTCTGCGATTTCTATTTATAAATTCCTAGATCACCGCAGCGCACACCTCTCTCGAGGTACATTCCGAATTAGGGGCACCGAGTTTTGATAGGGCTGTCCGAAATAAACATTAGTAAAACGGTAGAACTAACTAGATCCTTACGAACGAAAGTATCACTAACCTTCTGATTGTGTAACACCAAACTAGTACTAACTCGACTAACACTACCCTCGGCGAGTACTTTGAGGAGTCCTACTCCGACTACGACTTGGATGAGGACGTCGACTACGAGTACGACAGTTACGATTACACGGAGTAAGTTTCTAGGTAGAAAATGGCTGTGTACTCGTTGCAGGGGGATCACCCGTGGTTTTACCTTGGCCCCATCCACCTGTCTTCTCGTCACGCGTGCCATCCTAGCTGTTTTTTTGTAGTTAACACTTCTGCGAAACCCTTCGAGTCACAGAGAAAATTAATTTTTTTCAGCCATAAATCAATGTTCATTTTATAATCCGTTTAATTATTTTGGTAATCAACCATGTCGCTGTTTGGGTCCAATAAACGTGGATGTTGTTCATTAATTAATCTATGGATAGCAACGTCTGTTACAATGAGTCCTCGCGGAATACTATTTGTACACAGTAATTGGAACATAATATGTATAATAATGACGTAATAATTAGACTGTGGATATTTGTGAATATTCGCAATTTCGTGGCAGTGTTTCACACAAGCCTGGTATAAACTACAATAGTTTTCCTTGTGTATTTACTAATTTTTTAAATTCTAATTCAGATATGTTCCAAGCATTCACCATTACTATAAATGCGTGAAATCTGTAGTTTAGAGATCTATCTTCTTCAGAGCCCTATTTAAATAAATAATATGCGTCATGGTAAGTTAGGAATGATACTGAATAATGACACCAAGTAGAACCTCAATTATCCGAACTAACAGACGAATCCATTTTGAGAAATAGTTTTTCCAGTATTTGTTCTAGGATATCCACAGTTTCATACATCAATCAAAATAATTGAAACAAGATGACCACCAGTCCACTCGTTTTATGTTCCGATATATCGACACTCGAGACTTTCCAATAATCAACGTTCTACTGTCCTCGTTTTTCGATCAAACTATGCAAAAAGCGAAAGGGTTGAAAGAAGAAATTCCAAAAAATACAATTATTACGCGTTCAATATTTAGAAAGACTATATAAATTCGAAGGGTTAAAATTGCAGAATATTCTCCTTAATTTCTTGTAATGCTTGCCTGTATGTGTAATGTTCACGTCCCACAGCACAGTAGTTCGGTGTTGAATGATTCGAGCAAGGCATCGCGACTAACATCGAGCGATATTTTTAGGCGCAGAGGACAACAGTCGAATAAGTTCGAGCTGAGACTGAGAACGACGCATCCGGAGGGTCTGATCGCCTGGATCGGTAGGGGTAAAGTCGAACATCTTATGCTGTCGTTGCACAGCGGCCAGGTGGTTCTCACGTACAAGAGCAAAATCGAGCACATATCCTTGAGAAGCAGGGTTTGTATTTCTACTATATTCTACTCGCAGAATTACCCTGAAAAAATATGTAGTTATTTGAACAAAAGCATCGATGATCTAGAAAACTTTGAGAAAACCACAAAGTCTGTAGGATACTGACCACTTAACACCATTCAAATTATGTATAAAATATTTATCGCGTTTTCGCGATTACAAAAGGTATTCGATGGGTCGCACTTAAATGAGACACCATTATATACCGATTCCGTGATTTTTATTATACCCTAAAGCTGCGTCTACAACATATAACAAAACAATGTTATACAACAAATTGTTACACAACATGTTTTCATAGTTTGTTACAAGATTATACCTTCTGGCCAAGTCTGTAACAAGTATGTGTACCATTTCACATTCCATTATTAATATTAACATCACACTTGATGGATAACATCCAACCTGCTATACAACACGAAAAACGTTATATAACATTTTTACTTTCTGTGTCTCTAAGAAGTTTTATAACTCTATTATATATATAACGTCTTATACTACGTAGTGCAGACGCAGCTTAACAGAATAACAAATTCCTATTCAATCAATCATGACCTTTCGTCCCATACTTATAGCCAGTACTGTATTTATAACATTCGAATGATGCAATAAATATTTCCATTTACCGTAAAAAAACCCATGAAATTTCGAATCCCATCATCGACGAATAAAGGATATAATTCTCTGTCATTAATTCAGGAACGAGTGGACGACGGCGTGTTCCATCACATCCGTGCGTCGAGGAGACGTCGTGCAACGACGATACAGATCGACGATTTCGCCCCGGTCAAGATGTCGACGGAGGCCACGCTGCTGACGACCAACGGCAAGCTGTTCGTCGGCGGTAAACCTGGCCATCGTGGCGTCAAAGGCTGCGTGTCGGACTTCGTCGTGGACAAACGGCGGGTACAGTTGGCCAGACGGAAGATCGAGCACTGTCACGACAACGACGTATGATAACGAACCCCGGAAACGACAACGATCGTCAACGCGACGTCGTCCCCGACGGCCACGCTCGTCGAACGGACGCGGGTCACGTCTCGGACGAGTTAGCACCAGCCTAAAAACACGGCCGAACGAGGGAAATACTCGTTCGTGGACGAGTTCGTTTTCGTCGGTCAACGGAACCGAGTTCGAAAGGAAGCCCCACCGAACTAAGAAGGAAACAAGATGGCGGGCGTCGACGAGACGGAGTCACGTGATCGCCTGCCGAAGGTCCTTTTGAAACGAAACGGGAACTACTGAAGTGAACGATGAATCGTGTGCCATGGGAAAGAAGTTAGGGGAATCGAATAATATTAGCCACGGCTAACTCGTATATTTATTTTCGTTCGAATATAGTGTATAAACGGACGAGAGCCACGTTTGTTGGAGGAGGAAAATACTTCCGGTACCAATGACCGGAAGACGAAGGAGGTGCAAGGGCAGAGGGAAGGGGAGACGTGTAGCAACGAAGCATCCGACGTTAAATGCTACTACGGTTCTCATCGAAGGACAATAATATATTTTTAAGTCGACGAGATTAAATATACATATATGAATCTATATGTATGTATGTATGAATTTCACGCGTATACGTATAAAAAGGGGGGGAGATAGAGCGAGGAGAGAAACACGGAATAAGGGTGGGTTTGAATAAACGAAAATCAGCCGAGTTCGAGCTGTAGGGTGGGAGGGGTGGGGGGACTTATCGATAATCGTTAGTCGTTACTCTGTAAGTTAATAATATATTGAAGCACCTATAAATGTTTTACGATGCCAAGACTGACTAAAAAAAAAAAAGAGGGAAAAAATGGACGTTATGAAACGTCGAATCGGGGGGAGGGGGGTACGGGGGTGAATGGAGATAACTAGAAAGGAAATAAACGAAACGAATAAATCGGTGTTATGTTTGAGTGTTTCGGTAGAGAGATTTAACGATCGTGGATTTATCCGAATAGAGGAATGTATTTTAAAGGACTTGTTGATTTAATGCCAGTAGAGAAAATGAAAATCGAAGAATAACGTATTATGCACGTTACACGAGACACAGACACGCAAAAAACCAATTAAATACGGGAAACCGAGACACACCGTACGAAAACGGTGTTTTTAGGGCAGGCAAGGCTTTTTACAAATGCGCAAAAGAATAGATATATTATATAAATATATATAAATATATAAATATATAAATATAAATAATGATGAATATAAAATATTATACATAACTCTATGCAGATTACATTCCATGTAATGGACACCGCGGTCGAATTCTACGTAGGGTATACATATATATATATGATGAATGTATTGGTCTACGATGTCCTTTTACAATTCGTTTTCGGATGATAAGACATCGGAGACCCTCCGAGGCCTCGTAACATACTCCATTTCCGTTCGACAATCCGCGAGAACTTGAAAGCTACACGCCGATAACCAAAAATCTGGGATCACTTGCCTTCACGATCTTTGAAAACGTTTACTGAAACTCCGAATAAAGGATCATAATTGTTTACAGTTGTAGACGCTTGTGACGAGATGTTGTAACGTATAAAGTGTTCGAAATTTTTGGCAGCGTACTCGTATGCGTACATTAGAGCACACATTCCACGATTATTCTGAAACGGAATCGTTAAGTATCGCGAAACCAAAATGGCGTCACTCGATTGGTAAAACAAAATGGCGTAAATGAACAAAATCACGCGAAAGAACCTAAAATAAAAGGAAATTTTTAGTTTGTATCGAGTTCGAATATCGATAGTTTGAAAATAGAAATTTAATGGAGTATTGATTACATTTTAAGATTGATACAGTTAAATTCCATTTATTGGCACAAAATTTGACTCGATCCCTGATTTATTAAACTTCTACTGAGCTCCTATTATATGAACCGCTGTCGAATCTCAGAAAATAGATGAAATGTATGTTTGAAATGTATGCACTGTGACTCCGGTTATTTGAACGAATAAAATTATAGGTGAATCGTGGAATCATATGCTCCAGTGTACACGTAGCTTAACACTGATACTAATAGCGGACCGCCTAACGATCGCCATGGCAAATCTCTTCTTGATACAGGGTTCACGGAATATGTATCGCGATCGATTCGAATGTGAGTGGACTAGAATTGACGAAACGCAAAAACGAGGCACGTGTTGGCGGAAAATGGCTTCGAATCGTCTCCCCGACAGGATAACAGCGACATTAACCCCCTTAACGTTTTGCAGTGTAATAATTAGACTGTTGATGTTTACAGAAATTCGAAGTTTTCGAAATATTGTTAATTACTATTTCAGAAACAATTTCTAATGTTTTTTACGCATTCATGTGTTATAAATGCATTAAATTAGCAGTGTTATTGTGCATTTATGATGTCTCTGAAGGTGTAAAATACAGAAAATAAATTTCAATAAAATTTTTCATTTTTAAGATTTCGAAAGCGATGAGAGAAGAAATATATTTTCATTTAACTCTCGTTATTATAGTATAACGTTATTAGGTTTAGATTTATATAAACATTGACAGTCTAATAATTTCTCATGCGATGATTGTACTGCGAGATTTTATCTAGCATCCTATTCTCATGGATTACTTTAGCAACCCCAGACAAGTAATATGATATTTTACAACTTTACGAAGACGACGAATATTCAAATGAGTTCATGTGAGACGACAATAATGTGTTTTCGCCTTAAGCATCCATCCCCTAATTTGTAGTTGTATCGTAGAATTTAATGCCCTATATAGGAATTATTCGACGAGCATCATTTATTTACTCAGGCAAGAATGTATTATTATTTACGATATGACAAATTCTATAATATGAAAGTAATTAGTAATTTTAATGTTTATCTAAGTACATTTGCATTTACGTGAATAAGAATTATAATTAGTACAATCGTATATTTTACTTTATATTATCCTTATCGCTGAAGTTCATTCTTCAGTTTACATTGGCCATAAATTATATACTCAATTTAGTATTACACATACGTATCCTCCGAATTTTTAATCGTTTTTTTAGAAACTAGATATAATTAAGTATAAAGTATTTAATAAATATTATGCACTTGGTATCGAATTCAAGTTTTAATTATACTCTCTAGTCTCTTCAGTCTCTTTTGCACTAGAGACTGTCGATCTTCGTGGGAGACGATTCGATTGCCGTGATGTCGACAAGAAAATAATAATTACTTATATATATATATATATATAATAACCGCTTGCGTGTAATCGAATGATCATCAAGGAGTGTCTGTACGGAAGCGTGCATGAAAACGACGCCTATACACTACCAGTCAAAAGTATGAAACTATTTCTTACAATTCATGGAAGAGCCAAACTATTATTTTACAGAACGATTTAACCGAACAAAAATACAAAAACTAAAACAGAAATGATTCATACATGTACCTACCGATACCACAAGCTTCATTAAATTACCATAAAATAATGTCTTACTCTTTCATCAGTCATGAAAATTAATCTCAAACTTTTGATGACTAGTGTATACCTGTAAATACATAAATCTAACGCGCTAATCTACGAATTAATTGTCGTTTAGTGTATACCGCGCGCGCACGTACATACGTTGGACCTAAATAACTCGCCATGACGACCTAATTAATCGTAAAAAGAAAAACATTATGAATCTTCATCGAATCCGTCTTCACGACGGCCTTCTCATTTTAAGTTCTCCTGTTACTCGTCAGGAAACGAAGAAGTTGTCTCTGTCAACGTGTTCTTCCTCTCCTCATGGATTCCATCGAACAAAACGTCTAACCAGCAGCCTAATTTCATTGTTGAAACATACACTTTGACTGCCAGATTTGGTCCTCGTAGCTTTTTGCTCTCTTTGACGTATTGAATCGCGTCGGTCACCGGTTATCGTTAGTAGAATTTCTATTTAAACTATGTGCATCACTAATGACCGACAGTAATGAATAATTTCCGTTGGGACATCGTCACTGGTGACCGACAGTAAAATTGTCGATGAGGTCTGTCGGTCACCGATGACCAAAAAGAAAACTTTATAAGCCAATGGTTGCCATAATCCTTCTTATTCCAACCTTATAGATATTCTGAATATTAATAATTACCTTCCAACCAAATGACGTGTTATTAATGTGACTAAACGACACGGTAGTCAAAGTGTTAATTATCCAATTAATTGTCGACGAGCACCAACTTAATATTCGTCGAACCTTTCCAGCTCAGTCACCGAATCATTTAATGTATAAAATAAACTAAACTAAATAAGTGAATGTTCTTTAGACGTAAGTAAATCGGCGAATATGTGAGCACAGTCACGCACGGATTAGTGCACTGAAATCGTACCCAGAGAAGAACGTTAAACCGAGGAGTATTGTATGCTGTTAGAGTGTATAGGGTCTGAATGAAGTAGAACAATGGAAGGAAATGTTAAGGTGACTCTTATGTCGCTAATCCGAGGTGAAATTGTTGCACTGATCCGAAACTGAGGATTAACCCGGAGCTTACTGTAATTCTAAGATTATTTTGAGCGCACTCCTACACAATTAGAATTTAAGTGCGGACACGATACATATCCTCGACACACGCATGATCTTTTATACTAAAAATCGATTTGTTGTTAATACCTTCGCAGCCGATGATTATTCTAAAACCGGAAGCTTTTGGTCCAGTAACTCGTGTCGAAAGCTGGTTGCTGGGAATTCTGTCGTTCAAATAAAAATTAAAATGAGAAAGTTCGTTTTAACATTATCCTTTTTGTGACTACCTGCTTTTCAAAATTTTATTTTCAAGACAATTAAGTGATGTATGACTCAACCCAATTAAGAAACTCATATTATGTTAGACCACTGTTTTCAATATTAATTATATCTGCCATGCAATCTTTCAAAAATTAATTATAACCATTGAGAAATTAGATTACTCTTTACTGAATTTGGTAGCATCTACTTCCAACGATTGGTCAACTTATCGAATAAATTATTTAGAAAATTTAT